CCCCCCAGCAGCCTAGGCCTATAGCAGCATAACTAAGGGAAGGCTCAGGGTCACCTGATCCACCCTAACTATAAGCTTTATCAAAAAGGAAAGTCTTAAGTCTAATCTTAAAGGTAGAGAGGGTGTCCGCCTCCCGAACTGAGACTGGGAGTTGATGGTCATAACCTCCTGGCGGTTGTGCGTTCGTGTGATCTTGCCTGACATCCACCGGTGCCACTGTAAAAGCAGAGTTTTTCGACTGCGCCTGGTTTCGTGGATATATTTTCCCTCCTGCTGCACTGTGACCAGAGGATGTAGAGAAAAATCCATGACCTGAGGTTACTGCATGTCGGGGGATGTTCCTGTACAGGGACTCGCTGTTTTACCTGGAGACAGACTGAAAACATTCAGTGCTCATCTAAAGCCTGTTAAACACATTGAATTCGTTAGTGTCACAAACACCTGACTGACTCTGGTGCTGAATGTTTTCTCATCCTCTTTCTCTTCTCCCAGGTCTCTCCTCTGCTCAAGGGCTTCCTGGACAGGATGCTGGTGCGAGACCCAGCTCAGAGGGCCACAGCCAGCGAGCTTCTCAAACACCCCTTCCTGACGAAGGCGGGTCCACCGTCCTGCATCATCCCTCTGATGAGGCAGAACAGAATGAAATGAGACATGTGACACTAACACCTCTGGATCCTGGGGGGGGGGGGGGGGCGCCGTGTGAAGGGTTCCTGTGGAAAGTGCTGTGAGCGGTGAAGCCAGTGTGTTTTTATGTGAATCACTGAACTGTGGGGAGTGTATCCCCTGAACAAGAGGCAATAAGGCTGTGTGTGTAAACATATGGTGCCAACACCATTAAGTGTGTGTGTGTGCGTGTGTGTGCGTGTTCTCGCTCTCACCTGGAGGTGTGAGGGCGGAGCAACAACTTGCCTGTTGGGTGTTTTTTTGTTTTTTAAATTGAAGGGCCTGACCTGGAAAGGACTCGAGGAGTGAGGCTGTTTTTATTCCTCCATCTGGGTCTTACCTGGATTTTACGTGTGAGGACTGGGCTTTGCACACCAATCGGATGCTTTGAAGGAGCCGAGATCCTATTGGCTACTTTAAGAGAACGATGGAGCGAGATCTTAATCTCACTGTTGGACAGTCTGAAAGCTGAATTGACTTCACTGCAGACTCCTCTCTGACTCAGAGCTCACTACTGAGGAGGAACTCTCTCCACTCAAACATGAGTCGGACACACTTTGTTTTGGAGCTGTAGAAATAGCAGCGTCTGTTGTAAACATACACTAAGTCAAAAGGTAAACACTGGAGCTGACAGATGAACTTTCCTCTCACTGCCTCCTTATTTTCCTGTGTAAGTACAATGAACATAGAGAGAGTTGGATGTTTTACTATCCCTATTTTGTGATTGTTTTATTGTAATTATTTGTTTCCTGGTCTGTTTTAGAGTGAAATGTGATGATTTTGAAGCACTGTCTGAGAAATAGAAGCTGCACTCCCATGTGAATTCAGCACACACAATATAGACACTAGACGACGTATTTGTTTGTGTGTTTTTTGTTTTTTTGTTTTCCAACACCGGACCAGAGAGGACTTGAACGTCAGTCAGACCAGCACTGTCTAAATGGGTCTAAAACACTGACGGACCACAGACATGATGCCCCTGCATATTATTCTGTTAACAGTGTCTTCTGGAGGCTTGTCCACACCCTGTTTTCACCTGAGAGAGAAATCGAATGGGCCTCAAGCTGGGGTAGAAGATTAACCAGCTGCTTTGAGCAGGTTGTTTTCATCCTGTGATGCACGTCAGCTTCCTGGTAATGGGATCTCTGGCCCGGAGGAAACGCACGGCGGCTGTTTTCAGTAAACACTCAGCTGCTCGGCACTTGTCTCCTTCCTCTGCTGGTTGTCCACTTGAATTTATGAGTGTTTGACTGGCTACTCAGTGCATCTGGCACATCGCTGCTCAATCCACCTCAGAGTGTGAGCGCTCAAAGAGGCAAACAGCGAAGGGAAACTCTTACACTACTCAGCGAGACACACGGAAAGAAGTGGCAGAGGTCACGAAGGTCATATCTGTCATGAGTTGTGTGTGCAGATGTGATTAATTTAGCTTTTGAATCTAAGTCGACGTGAATGTGGGTTGTGACAGTGAACTGTCAGTCAGATGAAGGAAACACGAGCATGAGCTAGAAGAAAATATCAGGCCCAGGTAAAATTGTTCAGGTGGCACAAACGTGCTTTCAGTGCTCAGTGCTGATCAAAGTTGAGTAAATTTCCCTACTAAGATTTGGATTTAGTCCCCAGTTAACTTCATTTATTACAAGCTCTGCGTCAGACTTTGAGGTCTGTTGTTCGTTGGGGATTCTGTCGATTTACCTTTAGTAGTTTTCTAAAGCCTTCATGGTGGAGCTAAATGTGTAACTTGTTTTAGGAACAGGGTGTGTGAGGTTGTATTCACATCAGATCAGTCACTGGAAATCACTTTGACACCCTCAGCTGATCTACCATCTACCAAATGTCACCCAACTCAGCAGGTTTAGTGACACCATGGAGAATTAGTCACAGCTAAGTTTTGTCCTTCCACTGCCACCAGGAACCATCCTGTACCCACGCCACGCCAAGGTCTGCGTGTTAGGATTGTTTCTGAAACGGATCATGTGCAGACGGTGACATCTGGGCCTGATCAGAATCAGGTCCCAGAGCAAGCTACTCTGACCCCCCCACCCCGATGATTGGGACGTCAGATGGTTCCAAGCAGTAGGAGCAGCGCCGCACAGTTACACTACATTTACTTGGCTACTATCTTCCAAAGTAAGAAGCCGAAATCCATAGCAATCAATTATTCTTGTGGCATTTTAAGTTGGTGACGTGTCAAAACACTTTATAAAACCTTTTTTGACCGTCCCCCCCAAAGATTGGGTCACCTTACTAATTAGGTAGCTAGCTAACTGGCTAAATTAGCTGAGCTATCCACAACAACAGCACACAATTAGTTTGTGAGGCTGTACTCGTCATTAAAAATGGTAACTGCTGATAAATCACACTGTTCCCGACAGAAAACTGCATCTTAATAGACTGGAACTAGTTGAAGCTACATGAATCATGCTGTAGGACGAGGTTCTTTAGATGTTCCTGTTCTCTGGTTCGACAGAGTGTCCTCACAATCAGGTTCCCAAGTCCGACTATTGATCCCAGCTGAATGGTTTAAATGTGCTGATTGATCATGTACCCACTGTGTTTTACTCTGGGTCTGTGCTTTAATAGAGAGACGAGACCTTCATGCAGCCTCCTGATCATTGTCATGCAGTGTACCAGTGTTTAAGTCATCACACAGTATTTAGGGAAAGTCGTACTTTTTGAGGCTGAAAGTGTTAAAGAGAAAAATACCAGCAGCGGGTTCGAGAGCACATTTGTTTTAATTGAGGTCAGGTGGATTATGTTGAGGATTTCCTGGAAGTCAGTGACTTTGGAGTTAGGTGCTTCCTGGGGAAACCTGAAACTCCAGCTCAGCTGTTCACCAGGCCTACAACGTTATGGCTGTTTCCTCTACAAGCCTATTTTACAAATACTGGTTTTCTAGAAATATTTCAGATTTACTCTGTTTCCCTAACAGTGGCTCACATTGTCTGCTACCTGCTGTTTGCCCAGGTGTGAACAAACATCCTGTGATGGTACAGGTGTCGTCCCACATTTGATCAGTTGTCCTTTGATTGTCCATATGAAAATTATTCTGCTGGTTCACTGTTGTTGTGTGTCAGGAAGGTTGTCGCTACGTTTGTCGACCAGACTCTACTGCTGTGTGTGTGTGTGTGTGTGTTTGTGTGTGTGTGTGCGCGTGCATGCGCGCGCTTCTGTCAGGGTACGTACGTTTGCGTAGTTGTAAGTTCCTGTCTTAACATTTACAGTCACTACTTGGCGGGTGATGACTCTGATTTGACACTACGACTGTTGGTGATGGTGAAAGGAGACGCGGTGCTTTACTCTTCGTCGTTGCGTGCATTGCGGTATTTGCATCTTTGGGCCGATGCGTTTAAGGTGACAGTTCTCATTTACGTTCCTCGGTTTTCACATTGACCACTTCACATTGAGGGTTTAATGTTGTTACCAAGTGCCTCAGAGTCGGTGGTCCTCTCACCTCTGTGGGGTTGTCGGACACAGACCAGGTCCAGGTCAGGGGGACTGTTCAGGAAGCGGGGGGACTGTTCAGGAAGCGGGGGGACTGTTCAGGAAGCGGGGCTGCTGGGACTCATTTTGTGTTTCTGTTGATTTCTTTATTAGTAACTGATGAGTAGCTCCACTGCTGCTGTTCAGGGTTTAGTGCCTTGCTTAGCAGTACACTGACATTTTGGACATTGTCCTGTTGAGTGAGCAGTCTTGCTTCTTGGACGACTCCCCCTCCCCCCCGCAGGACGTACCTCTGGTTTCGACAGTGGACATGTGGTTAGTGGGGTTCGGTTCTGTCACCAGAAATCCTGACCACCTCTGACCAACCAGCCTGCTCTGCAACACACGTGACAGAACAAGCAGAACAACTGAGCTCTCTCTCTCTGATTGATTCTTGTCATTGACCGGTCCATTGTGTAAAAGCTGATTTTGTTGATCAGTATTGACGTTTTGTGAATTTGCAACAACTGTACCTGCATCATCATGTTTTGTAAATTTCACTGGTATTGTAAAAACATAGACTTCACTTTGCAAATTGTACTTTTTTTGCAAATACATCTTTGTAAAAGTCACGTGTGGTGTCTGCTTCCTGTGAAACGTTTCCACAGGAAAGGCTCAGATCAATAAGAGACCCAGAAAAATGTCTACGTGACTGAACGTGGCTGTGCAGCTCTGACCACATCTGTACAGTCAACATCTGTACAAAATGCAAAGAACATGTTGGTCTTTGGTTGTGAAGGATTCAAAACAAAACGTTTGTTCCACAAATCAGATCTAAAACAGTGGTCGCCTATTGGACAGCACTGCGCTCTGTGTCTCGTGCTCTTTGGACATCAGACCCACAGCCCAAACCCATCTGTACACAAGAGATGCTTTACTGGATTAGAAAACTGAAAAGCACTTCCACTGTTTGGTTTCAAATATGCAGGACTTGGTAGAGTACAGACAGGTTTGTACTGTTGGAGCATCTCATCCTGGTGCTGGTAACGGGCCCGGAAACTCGTGCTCAGCGGCTGCTTCACTGTTGGAGTGACTGTGGTACATTCTTTCCATTTGGACGAGGGAACGATGCACTAACTGGATTAATAAATGTCACAATGAGGCCTGAGTTGAAAGTCACCCTGACTCGTGGTTAAATGCCTGATAACCTCCCACATGCTCCACCAGCAGAAACACAACAGAAGCTCATTCTGCGCCGCACTGCAGCAGCAGGCAGTCAGCAGGCAGTCAGCACAGCTGTATTTTTAGCACTTCTGTCAGTCCGCAGGCCGCAGCTCTTCTACTTAAACAATCAGCCTCGTACACACCACAGGGCAGCTGTGTTTGTTTGGGTCCCAGGGACGGAAAGTGAGGCAGTAGTGAGAACAGTCCTCAGGTTCTTCACTGGCTAGTTTAGAGGCAGGATCGTGCACGTTATGTAAAAAATACCATACATGTAGACCAGTGTTCAAACTGGTCTGATGGCCTGAAAGCTCCAGGCTCGAGGTGGACTTGGTTTGTACGAGTCATGTTGAACTGACAAGTAACACGACAGACAGTCGAGGTGCACTGATGTGATTTCTATCACATGTACGTTGTCGGGCTGATCATCTTTTACAAAGTAGTTTGAGCTGAGTTTTCTAACTTTACTGGATCCAACTACAGATAAATGAGAGAAAATGTAGTTTCACTTCTTCAGAGTGAAGTAACTGAGTTTGTAGTTTCCCCAACACTGAAAAATTGTTATAGATTATAGCTGGAGATGTGTAGAGGACAGTATTTTCTACAGTCCAGTCGGTGCACGTACCCCCAGGAACCAGGTCATCACTGCTACAGTACGTTGCTGAATCAATATAACACAGAAGACAAACTGCTTCTGCTTTCAAAATTAGATGTGAAACCGAAAAGATGAATGAGTAAAACCTGAAGTGAAACTGTGAGCAACACAGTACGTGGCCAAGGTTTTACTGAAGTAAGACGTAGTAATACCACAGTATTATTTAAAGTACTGGCATAAACGGAGATACAGCAGGATTACAGACACACACAGAACCAGACACAGCCTCCCTGGTGGAGGTAACTATAGTCAAAAAACAGTACTGATAAAAATTCTTTTACACTTTTAAAACCAGTTTTTGTTCATAAAATCCACAGTGTTGCTCACAGAGACAAGACGCTGAAGAAAATGGGACCTTTTGATGGTGATGTCATCAGCTCCTGCTGACTGGTCAGACTGGCAGTGTGGAAACGTACCCAGTGTTACAGTCGTCTCTGGCCTCCCCTACTTACAGCAGCAAAAGTAAACGCCACATTTCACATGAATGCATGTGATCGTACTGGATCATGGTGACTGATGTGTTACTGTGTTCATGGCTTTAATAAGGTAAGGTGGTAACAGTGGAGCTGGTGGTAACTGGTTTACTGCCTACAGCCTACTTGTACTGTGAAGTACTTCACTGCTGGGCTTGTCAACTATAAAGTCTGATGATTCTACTGTGTTTTGTTAAATTCATCTGAATCTGAAAAGCAACGAGTTATCAAACACATGTAGTGCAGTAAAAAGTACAGTAGTTGCCTCTGAAAAGTACTTAGTCTAGTTACTTTCTAAGATTCTAAGGGTACTGCGTGTCCTAACAACTAGGCTATGAATGTACAGCTGTGCGTGTGTACTTAGAAAATAACTAAGTACATTTATTCAAGTACTTAAGTACAACTGAGTGATTTTAGTCTGCTACTTCATCCTTTGACTTTCAGAGACATTTGTACTTGTTACTGTAGTAAAACTTCAGGACTTGTACTTGTACTATCAGAGTACTTTTACACTGTGTACTTCTCCCATCGGAGCTGGAAACGTAGAGGAAGTAAGTGGTCAAAAGTTGCCTTGACTACGGCTGCTGTGTGTGCGTTTCCCAGAATATGACGGCGCAGCGCAGGTGGGCGGTGCTCGTGGCTCGCGGCGGCCAATAGGAAGCCTGGGTGTCGCTGTCAAACAGCTGATCGATGAGTCAGGGAGGCAGCAGCCGAAAAGGTGCCACTTGTTGCCAAGCAGGAGCAGCGACCGTCCGCCGACCCGCGCTCCGTGCTCGCTCTCCGTCCTCAGACGTGTCCGTGAATCCACCCGGAGCCGCCGCCTCAGCGCAGGACCACCCCGCTGCCGCTGTCTCCAGTCATCAGGTGAGACGTTTCGCCGTCCACACCGCTCACGTTTGGTCCATTCAAACGGGTGAGGTGACGGGTTGCGACCAGTAACGGGCAGCCGTTACCACACTGTAACGTCATAGGGTCACGTACATTGTTGATCTGGGACGTGGACGTCCACGTTCACGTTGTGGGTCAAAACGGCCTTTTCTGCTCAGATTTAGCCTGTTGTTGTCTTTTAGCCTGTTGTTCATTCAGCCTTTTAAAGTGCGGGAGTTTAACGCATTCATGTTTTTAAAGGGTCAAGGACTCGTTTAGGGGAGTGTGAGGGGAGTGTGTGTCTGTTTCTGGACGGACTTCAGTCTGGATTTGGTTTTAGGGTTCAAGAGTTTTTTGGTTAGTTTGGATTCATGGAAACGGGAAAGTCACTTGTAACTATTTGGGTGGTGGCTTCAGGGTGTTTGTGTTGTAAAACATGTAAATTAGTTACAGCACGTTTGGGTTTGAGGTGTTAACGAACTGGTCAGAGCTCAATCTGAAGATCAGTGAGTTCACAGTGAACAAATTCTTATTGAATTATTAAAAAATGTGTGTGACACTGTGTGTGACTTTAGTCTTGACCCACAGGTATCAACACCTGGGTGTGTGTTGACTCCGTTTACTGCAGCTTTATTAATGTCAGTGTGCAGCAGCTGACACACACACACACACACACACACACACACACACAGTGATGTGCTGACACTGGGATTACATGCATGGACACATCCTGAGATGAGGATCTGGGGCACAGACATGAAGAAAAGGCCCCCCCCCTCCTACAAACTGAGACAAACAACACAGTGAAGGCTGTTTTTTCTCTGTGTGCAGTTGGTTTAGTGTCTCTTTGTGACTGGTTGTTTAGACTCTAGTCATTTTTAACATTTGTTTTTCAGTCATTCTGTGTGTTTTCGTGGTCATTTTGTGTTTCTCTGCACTCACTCTGTGTCTGTTTGTAGTCACTGTGGCTGTTTTGTGCCTTCTTCACCAACAAGACGTTAACAAAGAGTCAACCAGGGGGTCAACCAGGGCCCTTGCCCCTCTTAGGGCCCCTGGGCCTGTGCCCAGTAGGCCCATTCAGTGATCCGCCTGTGGTTACATGTGGAAGTGGTAATAAATGAACTGATACATGTTAGAAATACATGAGGTGATGGTTGAGAAGGGACACAGCAGGACCTGGAGCAGGTTAGTGCTGAATATAAAAACTAAGGTCTGAGTTTCCTTCAGAAGCAGGAACACGTGGCAGTGTGTGTTCAACAGTGAAGACAGGATTTAAAATATAAGCACATTGTTAACCTCCCGTCATTCACGAGCAGCCATCTAAAAGTGACTCCATGTTTGTTTATTAGCTGCTAGTTTAACCAGCACTTACTCTGAACCGGAGGCGTTTTATGGGCCGCGTTACAAAGACGTGATGTTGGCTGCAGCTCGTTATAACAGGAGCATCTCTGTGACCTGCACTAGCACCGTGTCAGCACTTCCACTGCCTGCTGTGCACGTTCACTGTGTGTGGTGTACACTGACTCTTCAGAGCGTGACAAACAGCTCAGACGGCCTGAGCAGGTGCACATAACAATGTGCCACCTCATCTGTTCTTCACACTGAATTAAAGCCACTTATCTCTGATTAGATTTGGAGAAGAGGATGTTGTTTTACTTCCTCTCTGCTGCATCAGTAAAAATACTTGTAACATATACAATTTAAAATCCTCCTTTTCTTCCCCTACAATATGTAGAAACGTGTTTGCTACAAACATTTGATGAATCACTTGTGTTTCACATGTGGAGCAGATTGAAACATGTAAAAAGCAAACGCCTCTGAACCCAAACACAATGAATGCCTCATGTTTCTAAGCTTCTCCTGTAACATTTCAAAATAAAGGATCACTGCTAAGTGTGTTTACTGAGCTGTTAAAGCACATCAGGGGTCATACTGTAGTGCACCGTGTGCCATAATGAGACATGAAGTTAGTGCATGTGTGTTTGCCTCAGTCACGGAGAGAAAACAAACACTGACACTGGACGTGAACGCAGCACCTGTTTGTGTCACACGTTCAGAAATCCAAAGTGCAGCAGAGCACAAAGGGCCAAGTTCAGACGGGCAGAGCCGCCCCCACAGCTGCTGGTCGACCAGGCCGACGGACGCGTCTCACTACCAGCTGACTGTGCCAGAGCAGAGGAGCAGCGTCCTGTCTGGGCTTGGCTTTACTTCACGTGCGTGCAGCCTGCTCGGTGCTTCCTGCCGCGTTCCCAGTGGAAGTTTCAGTAGGTGGTGATGTGTTTCTCATCATCACCAGCTCTTCCTCTCTTTGCTCCACGCAGATCACTGTTGTGGCTGGAAACAAAACACGCATCACTTCCTGTGCACCAGACAGTATTACCAAGAAAGAGCAGTGTGTTTAGATACGTCACACTGATGTACCATCACATCGTGTGTGTGTTTGGTTTACTCCTGCAGTACACACAGCCAGGTTACACCCCCACATGCAGCATCAGGCTCATGTCACTGACAAAACAACAAGGAGGCTAAAAAGTCCGTTTTCTTAAACGTATATTAAAATGGTAAAGACCAGTCAGGACAAACTGGTCTTCACTGACCGCCTGACTCGTGACAGGGTCTCAGTGGGACAGCTGTATGTGGGCAGGTCGCAGGTCGTATGTGCACTTTTATTTATATCTATCTGATAAAACTGCATTTAAACTAGTCTATTTTATTTTTATTTTCCTAATGGACATTTCTTTTTCTTTTTCCTTTTCCGTTCTCTCTGTCTTATCTCGTTTCCTTGCTCGCTGCTTTAATGAGGAACACTTCATCCACACTGAGAGCCACTGTACCGGGGCCGGATTCCTTCCACACCAGACCAAGAAAAGCGATTCTGATTCTGAATTGATCATCGTTTCTAAACTAGACTCTGTCTTAGTGTGGCTCAGCCTGTCTGTGGCGAAGAGGAGACAGGATCATAAAAGCTCTGCAAAACCTGCTCCAGGAATGACCTTCCTCTGTAAACTCACACCTGTGTGTGTCTGGAAGCGCAGCAGTGACAGAGGAGGACGTCCCGTCCCTCGGAGCGTGAAGTCACCTGTCACGCCGCACGCAGCCTTCAGTCTTCACTGCCCTGCAACAGAGCAGTGCCAGATTGTACCAGCTGACACTGAAACCAGGGGAAGCAGTGACATTTCAGGCTTGGCAGGGATCTGTAGAGGTTCTGATTGTGGCGGCGTTGATGCGTCACTTCTTCTGACACAACTCTTCTTCATCAGCTTGTGAAAATGTGGCACGAGTGAAGCCAGGCGGTCAGTTCTCAGCCTGCTTACGGTCGCAGCAGTTACAAAAGACAGCATTGTGACTGAGCAGCTATCATGAGGCAGCTGAAGTCTGAAGGTGCAGAATTTATTTTCTCTTCTGTTGCCACAGCGTTCATCCTCTGTTGTTTCCAGCTTGACACCGCAGCAGAAGTTGTACCACAGAGGGGTGCGATGACTAAGATGCAGACCTCCCACACAGGCTGTGGTCACATAAGATGGTGTGCATTTCAGTGCGTGTGTGTTAAACCTCTGTAATATCTGAATCCTGTGTGTGTGTGCCTGTCTGAATGCCATGCTGAGGCCGGGGCCCTCCCTCACTGCTCCTGAGATGACTGGCAGCTGTCTTGACTTGAGAGCACAAAACACAGCAAAGACACCTACACACACACACATTCATACCTCAAAGACTCTGTGGCATTTCGACTGGCGCTCCAACACAGGTGCCACAGGCAGCGCGAGTCATCTGGAGAAAGAGTCGGGTTTGTGGTTCAGCATGAACAAAGTTGTGTCAGGGGTTGTGTTTGTCAGTTTGAAATGGCAAACAGCGCGAGGTGACTGTCGGTCAACTGAGGGCTCGAGGCCCGGCGGGCCAGGAGCGAGGGGTCAAGGCCCGGCGGACCAGGTGTGAGGGGTCAGGAGCGAGGGGTCGAGGTCCGGCGGGCCAGGAGCGAGGGGTCAAGGTCCGGCGGACCAGAAACGAGGTGTCGAGGCCCGGCAGACCAGGTGTGAGGATTTGTCCAGAGGAGCAGAACAAGAGGAAGGTTTTAGGTCTGAGTGTTTCATTTGAGGAGCAGATTCTCCACCAGCTGCTGTTTCTCTTACTTATGATAAAACATCCTTATTGTTTGTGTATTTGTATATTTTAGGCTGCTTTTATGTTTGAGCCTTATGTTTTGTTGTCGTTTCTTTTGGGATGATAGTGAAGCTGAACTTGATGAGCAGTAACACTTCACTAATAAATGACAGTGTCGTATGAACTCCGAGCTTCTCAGAACCCAGATGAAGTAGTAACAGTAACAACAGGCACAAACTGTTAAGTTGTAGTATAACTAACATACCACCAGTGAAGGGCTGCAACAATCAGCCCATTGATTAGTTGATCAACTGAAACTGAACTGGCAACAATTTTGATAAGTGACTAATTGTTTAGGTCATTTTTTAATAAAACAAATAGCTCATTTAAAATCCTCAGATGTGAACATTTTTAGCAAACTGTGTATTTTTCATTCCACTGGGATCCGTGAAACTGTCACAGGCTTTTTACACTTTTCTGGTGAAGCGATGAATCGAGGCAGTTCTCTGCAGTGATCAGTTCGGTGCAGCGCCGTTCCCCTATTATGTGTTTGCTGTAAAGCGACAGAGGAAAAGTGTGAGAAGGACAAAGAGGCCGTTTGCAGCCAGGACACACACTAACATCTGCTTCAATGAGTGTTTGCATGTCGACGTGTGAAGTCACTGGGCCAAAGCTCGGTTTGTTGTCAAACCCAAACTGAAGACTTTTGTCACTGAAGCTGCCGAGTGGTTGACAGCAGCTGACAGGTGTGAATGAGAATGACAGGTGGGCGGCTTTTTGTCAGCTGTCTCCGGGCTGAAGCAATGAGCAGGCTGGTTCACAGCTGACGACACCTTTAGCCTTTTCTTTCACAGCTGGGACGTCACACGTCTTCAGACATTGAATCCTTGAAGCTGCTGAGCTCCTCATAGTGAGGACGGGGACAAAGACATTGGCTCCCTGTCCATAGATCCTTTACCTGGACGTGTCCTCAGTGTATGTGTGTGTGTGTTTTCCCTCCTTCTGACTCTGCATCTCTGCTGTGTCCTCAGGAAGTCTGGTTTGATGTCTGCGTCAGTCCTGTATCCATGGCCGTGTGGATGCGTCAGTCTGGTGTGTGGACTCCTCCTCCTGGCCACGTCACCGCTCCTCGCCACAGGTATGACCTCCTGCCCCACTAGTCAAACTCCTGTGTTCCATCATTCATTCCCTGCAGCAGACAGCTGAATGTTTAACGAATGGGCCAAACCTTCACTCACATCACAGCTGAAGTTTCCCAGATCCGATGGTTTTTCCTCCATGTGTCTCAGACCAGATCTGGGCTCATAGACCCGATTCCTCTCCGACCTCTGACTGTGTGTTTGCCGTCAGAACGGTCAGATCAGGATCCATGTGGTCGTTTTAACGTCTCCTCCTCTGCACATACGGCCTGTCGTCATTGTTTGGCGTCGGCCCCTCATAGACCGGTAACAATAGACATGGAGGAGACGGGGTCAGTGGAGAGACCAGGATGTTTCACATGTGGTGGACGTTTATGGAGAAGCTTCTGATCAGGACAAACTGGGAGGAACATATCGTAACCCAGTGGTTTGGGAGGAAACTGGGCCAAAAAAAGAGAACATGTTCTTATTGGCTTAAATATTCAAATTGGCCAGGAAACACATTTTGGTTTAAACATAAAAATAAACAATAAGAGAGTCGTATTTTTCTTTAAAGGTTTAGCTGAGACCTTTCATGTGGCATCACTGTGGCTTTGTTGCATTTCCTCTATTGATTTATCAAAGGAGAAACGATTCAGAAGTCTCAGATATTTGTACGTAGCCGTGAGCTGAATGTTCAGGTGCATGTTATCGATAATGGCGCCTTCTGAAAACTGTGACTGTAATTATTTAGTTATCTGAGATATGCCGGGTTTATACAGCCCAGATAAATGTTCATTAGTGGCTCAGCTCAGCACGTTCACTCTGTGTCACAGGTTCGAAACTCACGGGCTGGTTCTTCATCCTCATCAGAACTTTATTTGCTTGTGGGCGTCACACTGTTTAGCTGATGTCATGAAGTTAGTTTTCTGGGTCTGTTCTCGCTCAGAACGTGAATCACTCTCCTTCCTGTTTCTGAGTGAAGTGCCAAGAGTTTAAATTATAACTGCTTTAATTCTAATGTTGTGAAATCATGTGTGTGATGAATCTCATACTCTCAGTGTGAGGAGGTCAATAAAGTGCCTGGGAAGCCTTCAGGTTTCTCTTCCAGTTGTAGCTTCATTTACAGTGTTTCTGGTGATTTTCCACTCAGCCTCACACTTGACCTACTCCTCACATGTTGATGTTTGGGGTTAAGGAGCTCGTGGGGGTGGTGGAAACCGTAGTTCTGCAGAAGCAAACTTTTAAGGTGGAAGGTGAAGAGATAGAGGAAGTGGGTAGCAGAGATCGTGTTTAGGTTTTTCAATAATTCAGTGGATTGGTCTGTGAAGTGAACACACCCTGTCAAAGCTCAGCTGAGATCTTCAGGTTGAGCTCTGACCAGTTCGTTAACACCTCAAACCCAAACGTGCTGTAACTAATTTACATGTTTTACAACAGAAACACCCTGAAGCCACCGACCCAAATAGTTGCAAGTGATTTTCCTGTCGATGAATCCAAACTAGATCCCAATAAACTTTTGAACCCTAAAACAAAATCCAGACTGAAGCCCGTCCAGAAACAGACACACAGTCCCCTCACACTCCCGTAAACGAGTCCTTGAACAGTGCCGACTGCTCTGGCAGTGCTGTCCTTCGCGTAGACAGCTGCGAGTTGCCCGAGATGTACACAGTCTGCAGGATTAACACAAAATACACAACATGTATGAACCAGACCCTGACCCTCTACACAGCCTTTTCCCCACATCACCTTGCTGTCATCCATCACGCTCTCACTGAGACATTGTGCCAGTATGTTGCTGTTCAGACATTCAGCTTTTCTCCAGCACAGAATGAGAGAAAAGGGCTGTTCCTACAAATCAAACTGAGGTGAACCTCAGAGCTTCTGGCAGGGGCAGCTGGTGGAAGCACAACCTCCACAGCGTTCATCCTCTTCTTCAGGGCCCAGAGAAAACAGACGCAGCAGTGCTGCAGAGATGGGGGAAGAAACAAGAGGGAAACAGGAAATGGTGTTTTAATTCTGGGGAATAGAAAGATGAGCCAGTTGCAGTGGCGTGACGTGCCAACACAAAGGTCTCATCACAGTGTTTTGTGTTTCCGCAGGCAGAACGAGCAACTGTACTCACCCTCTGGTGCCCGAACATGGAGGTTTTCGCTGCGATCCATCTCCATGCAGAGGTTTCCCTCAGAAGAGCTCCATCTTCCTCTTCTGTGAGGACGAATACCACATCAGCAACAAGGTCCGTGTGTCCAGGTGTCACCACGGGAGGTGGCAGCCTCCCATACCTGCCTGCATCCCTGCTAAAGGTGAGAGTCTGCAAGACTGAAGGCAGAGGAGAGTAGCAAGCAGCATGGTGTTTATGTTTGCTGTCGAGAGTGTGGTGTTAGGTTTCACTGCATCAGCCTGTTTGGCTTTGCCATCAGGTTCCCTGCATGGACTGATTTCATGCTGAGTTCACTGAAGACCTGAAAAGCTGTAGGCAGGAAATGATATATTTTGGTTTCGGCCTCTCAAATGTGTAAAATTGTTGCTGTTTCTTCTTCCGGTTGTTTGGTCAGACAGGATGAATCACACTAGGCTCCAGGAAGTGCTGATGTTTCACAGAATAAATAAGAATAGGGTCAAATCTGTGATGAAAACAGCTGTGATTTTGTCCCAACACAATGCAAACCGTACCATTACCAGCAGTGACAAAGATTAGCAAACGTTAGCCTGCAACCAGCTCTGCATTTATTTAATTTCCTAGAAAAGCAAATCAGATTCAACAGGAGTTAATATCTACGGACATAAAATGCTGTGTTGTTTGTCACAGAGAGATTATGTCATCGCTGTGGAGCTCATCCAGGTGTGACTCCCTCCCTGGTGCAACTGCCTGCTCTCGCTCTGGAGCTCGATGCAAAGAAGACATGATTCACGTGACTTTAAAATGCCCTTCGTTATTAGTCAGCAGATGTTCTCCAGACATCTCTTGACATTTCCCAGCGGCATTCTTCAGTGATTACCCCAGTTTATAATCTACTTGTGGATCATCACCGTGTTGGTCCAGGCAGTTTAAAGGCTGATTAGTCATTTTATGGCACTTCCTTTTTTTTGCTCTGATTGTTCCGAACGTAGACGTCATGCCATTGTTTTGGTCGGGCTACAGGGTTAGATTCACAGTGCCAGTTGTTGTCATGGATGGGTTACTGAACGGGCCTATTGGAAAAGGCCCAGTGGCCCAGGGGGTGAAGGGACTGTTGGAAAGTCAATCACATGACAACATAAAGGGAAACAATAGATACAAAACAACTACTAAGAGACTTGGCATGATGAAAGAGAGACAGGTAAGACCCCAACCGCAGTAACAACTGCAAACATGCAGAATGACAAAAAGAGGCACAAAACTACAACAGAGATGAAAAGCAATTAAAAATAAACACAAAACGAGTAGAAATAGGTGCAAAAAGCTTAAAAATGAACACATAATGGCCAAAACAGATGCAATACAAACACCCTGACCTGACAAAGTGAAACCCAGGGCATTGCAGCCCTGCAGCCTCACCAGATAACGCATAATCAGCAGCTCACATTTCTCCTTTCACCCACTTCAGAGAAACACACACACACACTCTGCAGGGCAACGAGAACCCTTACATAACTCAGACCAGTTCTGACTTCCTCTGTCATCTTCACTCAAACGGGCTGCGACAGGAAGTCAGAGCGCAGAAAGAGGAAGTGGGCGAATTCGCTGAAATAACTATTAAATATTGTCACAACTTCATGGGAACCTGTGTTCATATTGTCATGGGCTCAGAGAACCCACAGCTTGTATTCAATAAACGTATTTGGTTGATTCCATTTAAAAGCCCAGAGGTTTCCCACAGTGTGGCAGCACAGGTCACTGTCAGGCTTCACAGCTTCAGCTCATTGTCATAAAGTTTGGCTGCCACATGAACTTATTGTTTTAAAATGTAGCTACACTGTTGTTCACGGTCCAGATGTTCTTTTTCTGGTGAATAATTTGGCCGAATGTGATTTTTTTTTTGTCTTGTTCTGGAATTAGAGATGATTTATTAACCATTTCATCTGTTATGTCAATAACGGTGAAAACCAACTTTCTAGAGCCCAAGTCGATGTTTTCAAATACATTGTTTAGTCCAAAACTCAAGAATATTCAATCTACACCTACAGCATGTAAAAAGGGAAAACGCAGCACAGGAACCAGCCAAAGTTTGAACAATTAATCAGTGATCAGGATTGTTGATTCATTTTAATTATATGTTTTGGTATCATTGTGTCCAGATGTGGCAGCAGCAGAGTTGTGTAGTTTGTGTTGTCAGTGTCTGTAGTTGTGTTTCTATTTCAACATTTGTCTCTCTTCCTCAGAGGGTCCTAACATGAACGCTGACAACAGACTGAATAACCCAGTGTCCAACATGGCCACAACGGCAGTGGGTGTGTCCATCTTCCTGCTCACCACCACCGCCTGTCTGGTGGTCAAGTCCCGCCTCTTCCCCTGTCACTCACACGGGTAAGAAGATTATTTACTGGACTCACTGACAAACAAGTTACACTGAATGGCAACAGACATTTTATAATAAATGTAAATGATAGAGGTCAGAGGTTTACATTAAAGATATGTATTCTATCTAATGTCTTTTCAGCTCCAGTGAGACTCAAAACAAACTGACACCATAAGCCGCTTTTTGCCCCTCCCACCACATTCTGTTTCCTAGAAATGACGTAAACTACGGATGTCTGGTTGGGGCAGACTTTACAAACTGCACCCTCCAGTCTGATGCTAGCGTTAGCTGGCTAACAGTAACTGTGTCAGTCCAGTGAAGCTCTGTTTACTCCTAAAGTTACACAAAGCTCCAGTTCCTCCCAAATTAAAATCATATTAATTCAACACAAAGGTAAAATCCTGACCATGCTAGGTGGCTAGTGCTACCAAAACAAACAGGTTAGCTTTAGATGCTAACACGTCCAGAAGGAAGAAGGCCACATCTGGATCCAGTCTGAGTCCTCTGGCTGCTTTTAACCCTCTCCATGTCAAACAGCCAAACCCATGTTAACCCTGGTTGTTGCTCTTTCTTTGTCCCACTCTCTCTGTGCTAAAGACGCCACCTCTTCACTCTGACAGCTGCTGGTTCAGACTTTTAGCTGCCCAGAGCTCCTCCATGGCTGTTTGACATGACTACTGGCTGGAAAAACCCTTCTTCTAACCTTGGCTAGGCGGCAGGCGGGGCTGATTTACAGACCGTACTTTGACAACACAGGGTGGAGAAGCTGGAATAACAACAGGAGGCTGTAGGCAGCAGAGGGTCATGGAGGTGTAGCTGGGAGACACCATGTCCCACTGTCACTGGGGTTAGCAGACTGTAGGGGAAATGTTGCGTAACGCACTTAGAGTAACTCTCTCTCTCACTTCTTGTCTGTGTCCCAGCAGCCGTCGCTCCTCAGACCAACTAGACCTGATGGTGGATGGACTTCCTGTCTCTCTTCCCTCCTACGAGGAAGCAATGTATGGCAGCTGGGGGCAGCGCCTCCCCGCCTGCTCAGCACCTGGGCCCACCCAGCTCCTATTGGCTCAGGAGGCTCTCAGCTGTCAACAGTCATCTCTCAGCAACCAATCAGATGGAAGTCACTGCTCCCTCCTGTCCAGAGAAAGCCCCAACAACCCCCCGCCTCCATACGAGGAGGTCCCAACATCACATCCCAGAGACAGGATGGGTGCTGGGGATGCCCGGCAGCCACATGTTGCACTTTCAGATGACAAGGACACTTGATTGACAGACTGTCAGGTCCATATGTGACACATTTCTAGCACATGGGTTGTAGTTGTTTATCAGTGACAGCACTGTTTTGATTGACAGCTGACAGCTGCAGCGTTTGTTCTGCAGATGTTGGCTGAAACCAACAAACATGGACTGACAATGGACTCATGTGCTGCCTGCACTTTTCCTGGTTGGCTGCAGCTCACCAGAATCAGGACGCTCTGACCTATCACGCTAGTTTAGACCAAGCTGATTGGCCAGCACTAAAGAGGACTGAAGTATGATTATTAAGGACATGTGATTGTTTAGTGTGTGACATGTGTGTGACAGAAGAACGGGTTCACGTGGAAATGTTTCCCTGCTGTCAGGTGACTGTCATCTCTGTTGGAGTTGACAACACATTTTATTGTTTATTTTTTAATGAGAATGTAATCCTTCAGTTTAAATAAGAACAAATCAACCAAGCTGGCGTTAGGAGGGTTTCACAGCAGTGACATAAAAGTGTAAGTGCCTGTGTGTTTTCTCTGTTGTTATGAAGACCTAGTCAGCGGCGGGGCTGATCGATCTTCCCTCGTGAAGTCAGTGTCATGCTACAGCAGCATTTCTCTTTCAGTCTTACTTGGCTGTCGTGTCATTGGACTGCCGTGCACTTTGTGGGTTTGAAGTGCACAGACACTGACTGTGAAACTCAACAGAAGCATGTTGTGATGTTAATTGAAAAGTTAATTTTGTGTACAGATGATATTTAGAGACTTGACAATGGTGGTGAAACAGACTCAATCAGTGTGGAGTGATGTAAAAATGAATATCTGGATTAATTTGAATCTATAGTAAAAGTAATCTGTTTGCTGACTGGATGAATTTGACACTTGCCTGATGGCATCACTGGAGATACAGAGGTGCTTTTATCAAATCCCTCAGATAAGCTTTGACCAATCAGTGATCAAACACTGATCACTTCTGCTTGTCTCTTTGTCCTCACTGTTTTCTTCTCTGTCAATTTTTGACTCTGCAGAGCGACTTACGCCTTCACAGACCTTGAATGTATTGTAAATTTTATGTTCTTTATTGTGGCCAGAAATCTTAACTATTACATGGATTGTAATATTTACAGAATGACTATTTGTACATTGTATTATTGCGCAGAAATATATAATAAATATTGATATGTTTGTTTAACATCCTAACGTGGGTTGTGACTTATGTCACGTTCAATGTACGTTGGAAATGTCTAGTATCGATAAAAAAACGAGGATAAACAATAGATAAGGGGAAAACGGTCACACATATTTTACAGCGATTTATTCAGAATTTACAGGCAAAAGAAACCAAACCAGATGTAATCAACTAAAACTGCGCCAAGCACACAGCTTTCATCTTGAGTTTTAATTACTTAACACAAAGTGTTCCGATTTCTGAAGTGCGTGAATGTAGCATTAGTTAATCTGCATCACCTGGGTTTGTCAGTGTTGCAGGAAGAAGACATTTTACTATTTTCAAACCATAAGCACTAATCAAATACATAATATATAAACATCAGCATTTTTTACAAAAAATTATTTTCTCAGTAATTCAACACACAAAATCAGACAAAATGAATCTAGCAGGCCCGAATTAAGCTTTACCTGCCATCTGATCCTGACCTCAATCCTCCATATACAAGGATGGGTGAACAGCACAGGGACGATCCTACAAACAGGTGACAGCGACAGGTAAGAGCACGAGCTGCCGTGTAAACCCACGGTGATTCGGTGTTTGTAAGAAGAGGAATTGTTAGAGGATTGTTTAGTGCATTAGCAAGACGGGGCGAATATTGTTTGTGTTGTGTCTCAGGTAGCTGCTGCTCCTATGCTAACTAGCTTAGTGTGCTAGCTGTTGCAAGTATGCAGGTTGTGGTTAGCTTAGCACTCAGTTAGCGTGCTAATTAGCTTAGCACACAGTTAGCATGGAAATTAGTTTAGCGGGTCAACGAAGAGAAAAGGGTGTTCAGGTCAAATGTCAGAATAAAGTGCATGGCTGATCAATAATTAAATTACACGAGATTGTTTGGAATATGCTATGGCGGAAAGACCTTTAACTGTTTTATCACTGTCCGTGAAGTTCAAGGATAAGGGCATTCTCTATATTAGTATGTTCAGCAGAGACTGAAACCCACAGTTAACGACAGCCCTAGATTAGCTTGTTCGTCTGTGTGATTAGACCTCCATTGTTGTTCAAAAACAATTACAAATGCATCGGGGAAACACCACGCTGCACCGGGTGATGGCATGACGCAACCCCGGACCCATGTTGTCCCAAAGTCTCCATGGGGCCATAGCTTCCTGAGGTTGGCACAAGTCAGAGTCAAGTGCGGAGGTTTATGGTGCAGATGAATAAGATGATCCAGGACTGACACCCCGCCAGACACTAACCGGAGCAGAGGCAATTCATTGTGGGTTTTAGTCTCTGTATGGAGACTGCTGAAAATACTGTTAAAATAGAAAATGACCGGCTTTATCCTTTAACCCTCTCCATGTCAAACAGCCAAACCCATGTTAACCCTGGTTGTTGCTCTTTCTTTGTCCCACTGTCTCTGTGCTAAAGATGCCACCTCTTCACTCTGGGAGCTGCTGGTTCAGACTTTTAGCTGCCCAGAGCTCCTCCATGGCTGTTTGACATGACTGCTGGCTGGAAAAACCCTTCTTCTAACCTTGGCTAGGGGGCAGGCGGGGCTGATTTACAGACCGTACTTTGACAACACAGGGTGGAGAAGCTGGAATAACAACAGGAGGCTGTAGGCAGCAGAGGGTCATGGAGGGGAGGTGTAGCTGAGAGACAGTCATGTCAGTGATTAACTGATTAATTGGCTGATATTTGGTGTTTTTAGATGACTGGCATCAGCTGATGTCAGCTTTTACAAGGCCGATTAACAAAGAATGTGTGCAGACAGAACCCCCCACCCCCACCGTGATATCGGCATTGTGTGTGAACACTGAGCTCTATAGATGGACTTTGACAAACCCATATCAGTCGCCCAGTAGTCCTGCCCCATCTTCACTGCATTTATCAATGTGGAAAATCTTAGTTACTGCACTTTAATGACCATTTTGTTGAAAAGGCTTCTGTGTTTTTATGATATTATTTGCAGGACTTTTACTTGTAATGCAGTATTTGTACCAACATGGTAAATACTCCGAAGGCCTGCAGACTCTGTGGTGTGTGTGTGTGTGTGTGTGTTTGTAGACCTGTGGCATGATGTATTGTCTCTTTGAATGATTTTTTTTTAAGTTTGATGAATCTGTACTTTCCATTGCTTCCAGTCACTGAAGCTTTTCTTTTTCTGTGACTGATGAAATACTGTTTTATTTTTTCTTCTTCTTCCTCCTTCAGTTGAGAAACTGCTGAACTCGGAACAGAGCTACACATCTGCTTGCATCATCAGCCATAGTTTTGTAAGCCTTTACCTCCTCTGGCCAGCGTTTGAGGACAACACCTCATAGACAGGAAGTTGCCTCTGAGTGTGAGAAGTGAGTCCGGCCGACATAATGGAGTGAATTACACAAGTCTGACCCAGAGAGGGAACAGAGCGAAGCTTTGAAACTGTTCCCAGAAAGAACGACACATCACTGTAAAAATCTCACTGTGTCACAATGGCTGCTCGGAGGGAGGGGCTGGAGGTTGCTCACACAGGCATGTAGAGATTTTAGTGACCAGTGTGCGACCCCAGAGTGACGAGACTTATGATGACGCCACCTTTATCCTCTTTACTCGAGTTGTTCCTGGCTCGGCCTCCTCTTGGGAAGCAGTGCCCACCTCCCCCTGCTCTGACTGTCCACAGTGCAGCTTCTCAGGTGACTGGGAGTTTGTGTCTCCAGCTCTGGATCAGCTGAACGCACCTGATCCAGCCAAACAGGTCAGGGTGGCACACAGACACACTTGGGTTGTCACTTTATTAGGTACACCTAGCTAAAACCCATGCAGTCCAACACGACCCTGGTGGTCTGAAGGCATAGCAGGTGGTCCCTGACCATGTATTCAATAATGTAGTTTCACTGTGCGTATCACTATTTAATGTATCTTTTAGACCACATTTCCCTGTAGTGTTTATGAATAATCTAACTATGTAAATAACATTTAGAGGAGCCAAGGTGATTTTCAGGATTAAAATGGTGCCCATGTGGTTCTGAGTCACAGTCAGTTGAAAATCCCTGTTCTAAAGGTGCAAGTTAATTTATGTTTAATGGAAGAAAAAAAAAAAGTGATATTCTTTCAGGTGGAAATAGAAAAATTTTTAGACCTCAAACAGACCATTTGAGGTTAGTGGGGTGAAACCAACCACTGAGCTCCAGTGTTTGAGTTATTCTGCAGGTACCAGCCTCTGTGCACACACAGTGTGGTTTTCCCGTTTCACCCACAGTGAGCTGGTCAGACCTGTTGACTGTGGACAAGTTCTGGGAAGACTGACACCGACTGGTCGCCGCCTACAGACGTGGCTCCTCCTCCTCTGAGGTAATGGGTTCAGCACTGCACACATCACACAGCAGCTCCTGCTTTTGCTTTGACAGCTTTATTTAGATTGGAAATGCTTACAGGACAAACAGTAAAAATAAAAACTGAGTATTTCATCTTCTCATTTAAAATCACTGGGGACTCAGACAACCCTTCAATGACATGGTTGATAAAAGGCACAGACCTCTTTGGAAGACCTACGTCGCATCTGTGAGACAAAGTGATTTTTACACTGAACTGGGACAATTTGAGGGTTTAAATGACAGAAGTCTGTGGCCAAATAAAACCAACCCCACACATCTCAGTGTAGAAACAAAGTACTTCATCGAAAACTGCCCTGTCATCTACTTCCAGCTTGCATATGTTGAGGCAATTTGTTAAAACATTTAAAGGTTTACATGACAAAACATGAATACTAGTGTTTAGTTACATTTCTAATGAGTATATAACGATAACTGATTCAACACCAAGTTAATCAGATTATACAGTTAAAATTATAGAAAAAAGGACAAGTCAAATCTGTGGGATCATGGTGTTGTGTGGTTCAATCCAGGGGGCGCCACTGTCACTGGGTTTACCGCACAGAAAGCAGACACTTCGTGGTCACGGTGAAGCGTCCGACAGCCAATAGAGGGAGTGTTAGATCAGGTAAACCCCGCCCACCCGGCACCTCAGGGGTTATAAATAAACACGTGACTAAATTATGACTCAGGATTTATAGACGGTAATAAAACTCAGAGAACTTTCTAGTAAATGCATCATAAAAAAAGTTTAGCACAAGAATATAAAAAGATGTAAAAATATGCCACTGACATAATCGATGCCACTGATATTCGCAAGGTTGTCGGTGTAATTGTTTCAAAAAATATGGCAGTGATTTGTTTGCAACAGACCAAGAAAGAAATAAAACTGATCGTACTTGACAGTTGTCAGCTAAAAGTCGAAGTACAGCATTATGGGAGTTTCTGTTACTTGAACCACTCGAGCAGAGAGATTAACTGTGATAAAGTCGCAATAAGGTGAATTTAGCTGCACAGAGAAATGTTTCTATACCTGTCTCATCTGATTTTTAATCTTTCACAACCTTTACATGAAAAGAAAAAAAAAAAATTTAGCACCACCTGCTGTTTCTGTAAAACAGTCGGATTACCGTGGTTTCTCACATTGCATTTGTGATAAAACGTAAAAACAGAAGGAAAACGGGACTGAGCAACGTCACAGTAAAGAAAGTGGATTGCAGCTCCATCAGTCGGACGTTTCCAGCCTGATTTACAACACGTCATCAGCTCACAGTGAAATTGATGAGAAAACAACCTAAGTGACGATCCCGGTTCAGCTACAAGCGGACGTCTTGTTCAATCTGACAGCATGGTTACACTGTGAGTGCATGTCTTCTGTTTGTGGTGTGATGTTTTTACATGTGCGCATTAAAGATGCTGTGTTTGCAGACAGATCCGGCGTGGACTTCCTCACTTTGAACGCAGAAGCCAAGCCAACTCGTGGGTGACGAGAGCTCCATCAAGTCATCGGTGAGAGAGGCGGAGACAGGTCAGGTGGGTGAGGTACGAAGAAGTCCCTCATCAGAGCTGGGGGAGAAAGACACACACACAGTTAGCTCGACCACAACTCGTACAGGCGTGATGGCGACCCGCTCTAAGCTGCTGCGTTTATTCAAATGGTTCTGGGTGGAGTATCGCTGTAAGACCTCTCCAACATTGGTGCTGGTCCAAAACGAACAGATCAATATGTGAACTAGTATTTTTTTGCGCTCGATATGAATCCAGTTCGTGTACGAGTCAGTGTCGTAACATTAGCTGTGCGTTTGCTGCAGACACCGTTCAGCGCCGCACTAGAGTTGCAATTTTTCTTTCTCCTAAAAACTGTAACTGAGCACATAAACATGTTTTAATAAGAAATGAAGGAGAGATGCTACGTGCTGCACATGCTATGACTTTGGTGTAGACCCCACGTATGCAGCCACTTAAGTCGGTTGTTCCCTCATGGCTTATTTTGGCCTTCACTCACAGGAAAGAACTTCCATGCCGACACCATTGTTAATGCATGCAGCTTTGATGGTGCTGTGTGCACGACCAGAACCGCCATGCGTGTAAACCCGACCAACATGGAATCTGATCTCTTGACCAGTGACGGCTGATCAAGCTGAAAACTGGCCAAGTTTGATCTCCAGCCAATCGATCCCTGCATCTTTAAGTTGTGGTTAAGTCTCCAGGGGCTGAAAACAAAGATGTTAATCCTACCTGCAGTATCACACAGTCCTTGTATGCCTCCTAACACAGGGTCTCTGTCTGTGAGCAGCTGACTCCCTGGGCCTGGGTCCGGGTCCAAGATCAGATCTGATTGGTTGGCTTCCTCCAGGCAGCCCTGAACAGAGTTTGACAAATTGAACATCCTTACAGATGTAAATGACAACGTTTTTATTAATTTTCATTTAATTTCAATCCTTTTAACCCTTTACACCCCAGTGTGCCAGCAGCAGAACACTAGCTGTTTTTCTGTTGCTGTGGTTTTGAGACATTTCATTTGCACAGACAGAACTTCTGCACCACTATCAGTGCCTTGTTGCTCACCAGTAATCTGTGGCTGAGAAGAAGTTCCTCTTCCTCTTCCATGGAGGAAGGATGTTGCTTCTGCCTCTTGTCTGGAATTGGCAGCTGGGGCACCTCCACATCTGGCTTGTGGCTGCTAAAGGAAAGAGACTGCATTGAATTAGGTTAAGTAGCTACTGTTAGCATTCAGAGCACAGCTGAGGCCAACACTCAGCCTCCAGTGAAGAACTGAGCCTGACAAGTTCAGTCTGCTCTGTCCTAACTTCTCACAGTGTAGAGCAGGATGTGATAAATTTGGCCCGTCCTCTGGCGCCACCCTCAGGACAACGGTTAATATCTGCCACTAAAGATCGAAGAACAGCAGCGTTGTTTCTCTCTTCAAACAGTTGGTTTTCGCTGCGTAACGAACAGTACCGCCTCATTTATTACCTAGTGGATAAATTCTCCACTTTTGAAACATTGTACAGGAAAGTCCTGTTAATTCATGTGTCAAACAATCACAATATTAAATGTAAATGTTAATAAACGCTAATAATGGATAAATGTGCCCAAATCAGTTTGGACAGAAATCCTCCTCCTGCTTATGCCAGTGGTAGAAGTAGTACTCACTCACGTAAAAGTAACACGATCATGGTGTAAAAGTCCTGCATTCAAAATGTTACACAAGTACAAAAATATTAGCATCTAAACATACTTAAAGTACTCACTGTGCAGAATGGCACATTTGTGTACTTTATTAGAATCTAACTATCGATGCACTGTGTCCATCACAGTTAACGTGTTGCAGCCAGAGAGTTGGTCTTAACCAAGTATCAAATAAATGTGCAGTAAAAAGTACATTTGGCTCCAAAATATAGTGAAAGTCAAAGTATGAAAATACTCAAAGTACTGCTACCTCAGAACTGTACTTTAGTAAATGTACTTGGCTACTTTCCCCACTGGGTCACGCTGACAGGACAGTGTCTCCTGTGTCAGTCCTGTTTTGTCGACATGCATTTTCCCCCCCAGATGAATTTGACTGTATCAAATGTGATGGTTACAGGCTTGTGCAGACAGATACAGAAGTCATCCACCTGCTGACGGGACAGAGGTCGCCGAGTTCTGCCAACTCTTCATGCGGTGTATTTTGTAAGCAAATCTTTGTCCAAACACTTCCTTAAACTCCTGATAATCACTGAACATGTGCAGAGTGTCTTACCGTTTCCTGTTGACTGTAACTGTAGGTGTCTCAGACGAAGGCCTGTCCGCTTTCTCTGGCAAGCTGCTGAGGAAGGTCAGCTGGAAGTCGTCGTCCATAGAGATGTAGGGAGCCAACATGTCCAGATCCATCCCCTCCATGCCCTGAGGAAAGAGACAAGACCACAGGTGGGTCACTGCTGGTGTCCTCCTAAATTAAAACGGCCAATCTTTCAAAGCTGTGCACAAATTGAAACCATCTATGATAAATATGTTGTTGGCGCCTGTCTACACCGGACCCCATCTGATGGACCAGTAATGGTTTCATAAGGATTTTCCATTTTCTGCACTTTAGAAATGTTGCCTTATGTTTATTGCTCTCATTTTCTTGGTTTTGATCAATTTTCACAACAGAAACTTGGATTTTCTACAAGAAACAGCTCAGATTCCTTTTCTCCCAGCTTCATGTTCCACCAGCTGCCAGTGAGAACAACACATTTGTCTGTATAGATTTTTAAAACCAAACGTTACAGCCCTGTTTCTGCTCATACCTCCACTGTTTGTCCTTTCTGTGGACCATCCTCGGGACAAACGGCGAAGAACTTCTCCACCTCGCTGGTATCCATCTTCTCTTCCTCCTCCTTCCAAGGACTCTGAGGGAGAGGAAGAACAAGAGAGTAAACAGTTACATCAGACAGAAATGAATACTTTCAACATATAAACAACTTAAGCTTTGTATTTACCAGTGCTGGCTCAGAAGCAGGTGAAGATGAGGGGGATGAAGGCGGCGGGGTGATGGGGTTGAAGATGGGTGTGAGGAGCTGACGCAGTTGTGGAGTGCACAGGTCCTGAGGGTGCTCCGGCATGCAGTTCGGACTGGGCGGACTGGCGAACGACAGCTCAACAAAATCTGACGGAGACAAAAAAGTCAGCTGAAGATTCCAACGGTTTAACAGGATAAGTAAGGAACCCCCCCAAAATACTCAAACTAGACTTAAATTTAATCTCTGTACTTGTTTACAACCCTTCATGAGTGGTGCTCCAGTAACAGTGTGTGTCCTTGGTCTGTCTCACCTTTTGCCAGTGGCACAGCTGTGTCTCCAGCATCAGGAGACAACTGGACAAGCTGCTTTGGCTTCTCCTGCAGGTTAACGAAGAGGTCTGCGACGCTGCTGGGGCTTGACCCTCCCTCCTCAGGCTGACTGGAGTCGATGACAAGCTCACTTTCAGGATCAGGGTCACAGGTGTCGGATGTCCCACAGTCCTCTGGTGCAGTTTTAGACAGACTGTCACAACGGATCTGCTCTAGTGAGAAAACTACGTCTGGCTGCTCCACGGCACTACAGAAGAAGACAGACATTTGAGATCTTGTGGATTCTAGGTACATTCATACATTCATCTGTTTTTAATTCGCCAATTCCACCACTGTGTATACTCTACATCTTTGTCCATTTCAGACATAAAAACCAGTTCGGTCCTGTGTTGGAGCCACAGTCACATGACACCGTCGCTCTGCCTCTCACAGTACCTGAGGATGAAGTTGAGGCAGATGATGGCTTCGGGCTGCGATGTCTTGCTGCTGTAGAGGACGGTAGCTTGGGTCTCCGCCCACACAAAGCCGCCGCTGTTTGCCAGGAAACGGTAGTGGCTGGTGCTCACCTGACCTTTGGACAGTACTGCAGCAGACGGGGACAAACAGAAAAGAGATAAGTTTAAAAAAAACAACAAAAAAACAGACCAGATTATTACATGCAGGACATCGTGACAAGTGTTTGTTTACAGAGCTAGAACATAGTGTGGAGCAGTAAAACCACAGGGTCATGATTTCAGAAAGAAATCGGAGTAAAACAGATTAACCTCAGACAAACAACGTGTATAAGTAAAGTATCAAATAAATGTGGTGCAGTAAAAACTACATTTGGCTCCTGATAAATAGAAAGTGCTGACGCTGGTTTTTGGTTCCGTCAGTACTGATCTGAAGTGATAATTACATGAAGTTTTAATGTTTTGCTGCAGCACACACACACACACACGTTGACTCACATGTGTGCAGGCTTTTGTTGACATGATCAGAGTCCAGGGCATGATGAAACTCGTAGGCCGAGCGACCGATCAGATCATCAGGTCTGTATCCCACCAACTCTTTCACCCTGAAAACAGAAGAAAAAGTGTGTAATACAGTGACGTTCAGAGATTTCCTCTCTGCTCCAGGCTGCTCGTCCCACCTGCCCTCGCAGTGTGTGAAGCGCAGGTCCATGCTGTGGCGCGTGAGGAAGGTGCAGGTGTCCAGAGGGAACTCCACGCTGGACGGGTGAGGGATGGGCTCACACAGCAGAATCATCACTCTGGCTGCAGGGGGCGACGTGGAGCCGCCACCAAAGCGGCGCATGTGGCCTGTGCAGTGGAGCACCTGGAAGATGAGCAAGAGGACGGTTCATCGAAGGTGGAGGAGTACACTGCCGGTTCAGTTTTTATAATACATGCTAGTGCCAAGTGTTGATACTAACAACTGTACAGGATCTTCAACCATGTTCAAATCAGTCAAATTAGCTGTGAGTGGACCATGCAACAGTGTGCACGTAGAGAGCAGAGGGCTCTCTGCCAGAGACAGCCGACCTGCTCACGTCTCTGTCTGGACTTTTGTCCTGTGTGTCTTGATAGGTGACTGAGAAACATGTTTGTGTGTTTTTGGTAATGCCGAACCTTCCAGGTGGCAGACTTGAGGTTGACGGTGCGCCCCCTGTTGGTCAGTGTGCTCTTCATTCGCAGGAAGAAGTTCCTCTCGCTCTGCTGCTCTGTCTGCCATTTTTTACTCAAGCCTGGAAACAGCACGACAAAGATAAAGCAGATGAGCTCCCAGGAGTTCACAGAAACTGAGTTTCCAAACTAAGATTTATCATTCATACTTTAAGTAAAATGATCAAAACACCAGTTAAAGGTCTTCAAAGAACAGTAGCTAACTCCACTGCAAAAACGGCTTTAGTGACTAAAGTAGTGGCTATTCTCTTAGAACTACACCGACTCGGCGTAATCCTGCTCAACGTCAGCACAAAGCAGCGACTAAGAGGCAGACAAAAACAGGGGATCCGTTTTTCTAACAACTAAAATAAAATATGTTCTCAGCCAAAACCTGTGTGTGTGTTTAAAGCGAGAGAGCTGCTGTGTGTTACAATCCCCGTTTGTTTGACAGGATTTGCTCTGGGATAATGTGTCTGACCTGGACGTGGAGTTAGCAGGTCTCGCAGCTCCTCCTGATCACAGGGGTGAACAAAGTCATAAATACTCTGACCCAGCAGCTCCAGCTGTGGACAACACAAAACAAATCGGTTTGAGGTTAGAAAGTCGACGCCTTTCACTGCCAAATGTTTCGTACATGTACAAACGTGTGTTGTAGTACTGGTGCTTTACCCACACTTAGTCAAATCACATGCAGAGATTTTAGTGATGTGTTGAATTTACCGCTGAATGTAATCCCTACACAGCAGTACAGCCCCACACGGTTACATAACCTACATGGTTCAGCTATAAACTACATCTGAAATGGCGCCAAGAGATTTGAGGGTTGATGTCCTCCTTGCTCGTGTTACCCGGATTTGATGACCTAGTCCAAGAACTAAACTACAGATGCCCGGATGGGACAAACTGTCCAAACTGCAGCCTCCAGCCTGAAGATAACAGTAACTGTGTCAGTCCAGTAGAAGCTCTGGTTACTGCTGATGTGACACAAAGCTCCAGTTCCTCCCAAATTAAAATCATATTAATAATTCAAAGGTAAAATCCTGACCATGCTAACACATCCAGAAGGCCACATCTGGATCCAGTCTGAGTCCTCTGGCTGCTTTTAACCCTCTCCATGTCAAACAGCCAAACCCATGTTAACCCTTTTTGTTGCTCTTTCTTTGTCCCACTGTCTCTGTGCTAAAGACGCCACCTCTTCACTCTGACAGCTGCTGGTTCAGACGTTTAGCTGCCCAGAGCTCCTCCATGGCTGTTTGACATGACTACTGGCTGGAAAAACCCTTCTTCTAACCTTGGCTAGGCGGCAGGCGGGGCTGATTTATGAAAGTTACTGTTACTCGGATCTTTGTGTTGTAATGCTGGGGCCGTCTTGCAGGTTGTGTTCACGCTGTACCTGTGTGATGCCCACGTGTCTGCTGACGTTTTCTGTCAGGTAGATCATGTCTCCTTCCTCAGTCGTCACCATGATGAAGCCAGCCAGCGCCTGAGGATAGAATGCATCCATTGGATCCTCTACCTCCTCCTCCTCTTCAGACTTTTCTTTGTGGTTGTCACCTGTTGTAAAATTGACCAAGAGATTGTTAGTTACACCTTGCATCAGTGTCAGTGTGCGTGTCTTTAATCACCCGTATATCCTGCCTGGATTATTCCGGTTCTCTACATGGTGCTGTAGCAGCCACCAGGTTTTAGTAAACCTTAAACGCGCGCCTCGAGTTGGATTCAGTAGTTGTTTAAGGTGAATCGCTACGTCTTCCACCCACTGCTTGTGGGAAGGTGGTCTTTTTTTTATCTGAACAGGATCTGTCACCGTGCACCTAGTGTGGAGAAGGCCACCAAGTACAGCCTGGTTAGCTGAAGTCCTTGTCCCGGGGCTCACTCCAAATATGGCTGTCATAGGGTTTGGTGGTACCCGCATATCACAAACATGTGAAAGGCTGTGAAGAACCTCTACCCAGAAATGTTAATCTTTGGGCAAGCCCAAAACATGTGGCTGAGGGTGGATCGCATCTTGGACAGTTTTCATCTGTTCCTGTCAAAGAGACATCACAGCTCGAGAAAACTCAGATTTTCAGCATGCAGCACAGCGGCCATGCAGCTAGGGGGCGTGGGAAAGGTGTTATGGCATAAAAATACTCTGCTAGGAAATATTTATAACCTAACAGAGTGTTGCCACAAAATATGTAAGGAGCCTCTTAAGGCCTGAGAACAAACCTGGTCTGTGCCTTTCGTTGTGAAGATTTAAGAATATTCAAAATATACACATGAGCACAGGCACCAGGAGCCAAACGCAACGCGCCAAGAACAGTGTGTCCTATTTCAACTAAGCAGGAGCAGAATGTAAAGGACAACAACCAAAACAGACACATTACAAACAACGAAACGTGTTCAACGGCTTTTTGTCATTGAAGTGAATCATTCTGATTTGACTCATTTACATTTGATATCGAAAACAGTTTTTGGCTGAAAGTACATTTAATTTGATTCCAGTAAAGTTTTGCCCTCAAATACATTTTGACTGCAGGGTAAAGAAAAAAGATAACGTCCCATAGGGTTCATCCTCTGGCAACAATGATAGTCTGTCTAGAATTTTATGGCAACACAATTATCAAAACATCTTTAAGAAATGTCATAAACCCAAAAACCTACATTTTGTATCAAGATAAAAACTGTGGAACATGTTGGTTGTGTGCTTCTTACCGGGCTGCAGGAGGTAATGCATCCGCAGGAAGCTGAGGGTGATCCTCATGATGGCAGCTTTGTCCAGGTGTGTGGACACTCTGCGAGGAAGTGGCAGAGTGCGGGCGAGCTCATAAAACACCTCTGTCTCCTGACTCCGCCTACACCTGGCTGCGTCACGAGAACGCAGTTTCCTCTGCTCTGAACTGGTTCTGCAGGAGGACAAAGACAAAGCATGATTGACAGATGAAAATGAGGGGAGGAAGAAAATGAGAGAACAAACAATTGTGGCGTGGATGAGAAAGACAGAAACAGAACAACAGAAAAAAGGAAGGCGAGTTGGGAAGATGTGGGCGAGAGCAGGAGCAGAAAACGGAAAAAGACCACGTGGAGAAAGGAGAAGGGATGTGGGAAATCAGGGAGAGAAAAGCCATCAGTATGGAGTCCAGGATCAACACTTGACATGTCAACATTCTCTGACAAACACCATTCCCTCAGTCCCAGGCAAGTGTTTCTGTTTGCTAAGGACAAACTGTTTTCAAGGTTCAACACAGAACATTTCAGTTTCTCAAGGTCAGAAAACACTGATCAGAAGGCTGTAAACATGCTCTAACTTCTGCTAAATGCATTATTAATCTGGGACTGTGGTGAAACTGAGCAACTGATAACTGCGTTCTCCGATATCAGCGTACTCTGATATGCAACGTCTCATCACGGATGCTTCAAATTGTGATCAGGACAGTTTCCTGACTTCCTACCACGTCCGTAAACTAATTCTTGCTCAGTCACTCATTTGAAAGAAACTAACAGCCCTTGGTTCACATCGAACATGTTGCACGCATCTGGTTGTAGCTGCTCGTCACTTCCAGACTGCGCTACTGTAACAGCGCCCTCTACTGTCTGTCTAACCCTCAGTGAACTGCAGTGTGTCCAGAACCCTGGCGTCCACATACCGACTCATTCATGGTTCCACAACCACTTTGTTGCTTTATCGAGTTCCTTGAAAAAGGCCATATAAATAAGATGTAGTATCAGTATATAGGTGTGTTTTACAAAAACTAAACCCTGACTTTTTGACCTCAAGTCTCAAAGTTTTGAGACATTCAGCTCTGACTTGGGACCAGGATCCACATCCACCTGGGATTTCCCCGACTCCACTTGAGGAACCAGAGCAGGCCTCTTGTCGCTCCTGTGTAAGGTCATATATGCTGTTTTCGGTCTGTCTGACGTGGAGAAAAGTCCCAGACTGAAAAGAACAGAATGTTACTGGTTCCAGCCCCGACCCCTCCCTCTTCTGTCCTTCACTGCTTTGGCATCTATCAAAAATGTGCTGACAAGACAAAAGCAGCGCTTCATTGCACCGTCATTCACAGAGTGCTCTGCCCAGTCGGTGGGAACTCAAGCTACACTGCAACACTTTCACCGCATGGAAGCAATAAAGTTATGAAGTTAAAATAAAGGCCATTGTCTCAGTACTTAGTCAGCCCGAGCCCGCAAGTCAAACTGGACCCTGAAAACATGGTTAAGCAGCGCAACAAGAACATAACACTAGACTGCAGCCGAGTGCCAGTTCAAAAATAGCTTCACAGCTGTGAAGAGTCAGTGGCTGAGAGACAGTGAACACAGCACGACACACACACACACACACACCCAAGTTAGCTTTAGATGCTAACACATCCAGAAGGAAGAACACCACATCTGAAGCCAGTCTGAGTCTGGAAGCTGCTGGTTCAGACTCTTAGCCTCCCAGAGCTCCTCCATGGCTGTTTGACATGACTACTGGCGGCAGGCTCAGACTGTAGGGGGGGTATCTGAGTTAATGCACTTTTAAAAATGAATAAAGTTGTTGACACACTACAACTGGGCCCCGCCCACAGTGTGTCCAGACGTTTGTTCACTGAAGGGAACAAACAGATACCAGATTACAGATACCAATCTGATTGCAACATATTCATCCACATTATAGCCTTTACAAAAATGTTAACAATGCAACACACATATCCGTGTGTGTGATGCAGTAACCTCACTGCAGCCAAACTATTCTTCACTGGACCGAACAATTCTTGAACTGGTTTCTGCCAAGTTCTCGTGTTTCAACGCAGAGATACACAGAGAACATTGAGTCATGCTCGGACACCAAGGACAACACGTCGCTCTCCGACTTCATTTGTTTATCTCTACAATCGTTCTCAGATGACAACGTGAAATTATTTTCAAATCTAAGGCAGCTGCACCACACTATTCCTGGGGAGTCAGCCCTCATCGCTGTAAGGACATGACGCTGTATCTGAATCAGATCGGCGTGTGCATCTAGGCTGTTTGTGCATGAGAGCGGCTTCACAACGCCACACACACACGCACTGTTCACTCTGTCTGCAACACGAGGCGCACAGCTGCAGCGCACTGATGCGCCTGTAGTCACAACTCCCAGGGGATCAGACTGGTGTAAAACCAGGAGTGGGGGTCACGGCGCTGAAATGTTACTGGCTTCATAGTGAAAACCAGTCTGGTGGTGACAGGTTCACACACGAGTGATGTCACAGGAAATTCATCTGAACCTCATTGACGCAAAATGGATTCGCTTTCAGTTGTACTTCACATCGTCAAAGATCTAAAATTAACAGTCCCAGATTTTTAAAGCTGTTAAACAACAGGAGTCATTTACACGGCTTTTATATATTTTATTTCCTGTTGTTGTTGGTATGGATTAAAGCCTCTGATGCGCCGTGCAGTTCTGCTGACTCATGTATATTAGCTGCTGATCATTTACACTGACTCATCACAACAAGGTTCTGGGTTCGAGCCCCGGCTGACTCGGGGTCTTTCTGTGCAGTCTGCATGTTCTCTTTGTGGCTGTGTGGGTTCTCTCTGGCTTCCTCCCACAATCCAAAGACATGCAGCTCAGGTTGACTGGTGACTCTAAACCGCCCGTAGGTGTGTGTGTGTGGTTGTTTGTCTACATGTCAGCCCTGTGACAGACTGGACACCTGTCCAGGGTGGACCCCGCCTCTCACCAGACAGACAGACAGACAGACTGGACACCTGTCCAGGGCGGACCCCGCCTCCTGGGACTGGCTCCAGTGCCCCTGCCACCCTATTTAGGGATAAGTGGTGTAGATAATGGATGGATGGATTATTTCCACTGTGTTTTCCTTCTTTTATCATATATATTTACATTTTCCATGATCCTGGTCTGATTAAACCGATAAGCCGTCTCTACATTTTTAATTAATCCAACTACAGATCTACGTAGCAGCTGTGTCAAAGCCATAGCTACAAGTAGTGACACTTAAACCTGTCACACCCTGCTGCACTAATGCTGCACATTGACCACACTGTGATATGTGTTGCAGTATAATGGTAGGTTAGAAAACTACTTCAGCATGACATATTCCGATGTACACACTTGGCAGCTGAGCAGGAACAACAAAACCTTGCACTGGTAACAAGAGCGACGTCATTCTGCACTGATTTTTTTAATTCTACATTCCACATGTGAGCTACACTGATTATAAAATTAGTTTATCCACATAAACACGTTTCTAATGTTGTGGATCAAGGATTTATTTTACTTGGCAAATAGAAAACTACTTCAGCATGACATATTCCGATGTACACACTTGGCAGCTGAGCAGGAACAACAAAACCTTGCACTGGTAACAAGAGCGACGTCATTCTGCATGACTTTACAGCAGCAGATGCTTTGGTCCAGGCGTCCACTTTAATGATCAGCTGGAAGTCAGACAGGAACTGATTCCTGTGCACCGTTTGTGTCGACATCAGCCTGGTATCTGCAGACAGCTG